GCTAAAGTATCAAGTGCTATATTTGAAGTTGTGCGATACGCCTGAGTAATGCGAAGAAGTCATATCCTTCCTTGGTTTTGCCCTGGGGGCGCCTAAAGCTGACGTCTATATGCCATGATGTACTGTTACAGGCCGGATTGGTGGCCCGGTCTGTCTGGCAGTGTTTAAGTGACTTCGTTCTGCTGTCCGGGGTTGGGGCTCTATTGATGGCAGATGTTTTCACCATTCCTCCAGGACGAGGCATGAAATGCGAGTTGCTGAGTATTCCTGTCGACTCAGTCTTAGTTCGTCAGCTCGACCGATAGGTTAATGGCTTCTTGGAGTTAAGGGGTTTAACTGTGCAGCCTCGAGCTTCTCAGGTCTGAGTGCCCCTTCCTCCCAGCACACTGTCTTTTTTGACCAAAAGGTTATAATCAGAGCAGGAGTTTGTCTTTGGTGTTTTTTTCTGTCTTGTTTGAACGTGAAAATACGTGATGCCGATGCCTGTTACTAGAACCACGGAAGGCTAAGTTTTGTTTGGCTAAACTGAATGGCATAGATAATTCTTTCAATAACATCGCGCCAATACTTAGTCTCTTTTCTTTTATTAAATTTTGAAATTCCATAGCAACAGATTTATTCTTTCATAATCGTTCTAAGAAATCGGACCTAAGGTATAGATTCCGGAAATGCTCAGAACTACTCAATTTTAGGTTGCTGAAACTGTTAAAAATTTTGCAACGAATGTAATAAATAGAATTTAGCAACCAATCCCTTTTAACTCTTTCGTTGTTTGACAAGATTCTACAAAAGTACATCTAAAAAAATTTACGTCCATTTTTGTCTTTTGGGAAAGTGAAACTGGAAACCACGTTTTTGATAATATTCAGGACTATTTTCTATTAAGACTTGAACTTGGGATGGCAATAATGGACTTGGGCATAATCTGGAACCATCAGGCACACGCAAATGCGTATCTACTGCAGAAATTATAAATGTCACTAGTATTTCCTCTGTTTTTTTTGACCGGCTGCATTGAAGTTAAAGATAATTCCCAGGTGAAACACTAATTAACTCTTTCTGATTATCAGGTTCCTTTGGTCCTTTCAATGGTAGCTGAGGACATTGATGGACAACTTATTCTAATAGCATTAGCTTGGGTATTCTCTTTGTTTTGAAAAAATTGCGTAATTTTAATGTTCCAGTTTATTAAGTCTTACTCTTGCTTTCTTTTTCTTCATTAAATTCTGATATACAGATAGATTTTTCTGTTTTTCTTCCGACATATGGGGGAAAATGAAGACATAAAAAGTGGAAATAAAAATAATAATAATAGTAAAATATAACTCTTATAAGAACTATTAGGTAAAACACTTCTTAACAACACTCAGAAAGTCTCTGTTGGAAATATTTTAACTTACTTTCTGAAAAACTGAGAATATCTTAAACCATTGCTGGGAAAATATATGAATATTAGATCAACACCAAATAATTCAAGGAAGTTGAGGTTCTCTTTTTCTTTATTAAAATAAATAAATCAAATTTAAAGTATGTATTTAAGACGTAATGACATAACGAAACATTTTCTTCGATTTTCCGTATAGCTAAGAATCGGAAAATTGCAATTTTTAATTTCAGAATACCTTGTATATTTTTACTTCTCTTCAAATCTCAAATGGGTATGTTTTAAATTCAGTAGTATTCCGTAAATATGTCAATCCTTTCTTCTCGAAAGGTAATAATTTTTAGTTTAATAAACAAATAGTTCATGTAAAAAAAAAAAAAAATCGAGTAATTATGTTTAAATTGTCGATTTTTGTAAAAAGCTAACCTAAGTTTAACATAATATGTAACTGCACTTATTTTTTTTATATAGAATAACAATAACAATAAGCAGTCACCAAACAGAATCGCAAAAAAAGTAAATGTTGCACAAATTACTATGATTGCAACAGTAGACACAAAATAAGGATTAAGCAATTTGTCAAACGCGTCTATGGCGCCGGCGTCTACCCTTATAGACGCATCGGCATCAGGTATTTTCGTTCACATATCTTTGCAAGATCAGATTATGTCAAAAGCTACAAAAAACATTAACTGATAAAAATCAAAGTGATATAAATAGTATAGGTCTTATGCATGAACTGCAGTTTTTGCAAACATTTTGAAAAAATGTAGCATCGCTGGTTGAAATTCTAAGCTATATCGTTGTCAACAACATTGCGTTGTGCAGAAAATAATTTTGGATATATCCCTAGATATCCGCCCTAGAGCAATTTTTGTGCCCTGTTGTAATCACAGTTTGAACCTTATCCTAAACGACGCTAACAACAACAACTTATTTGTTGCAAACTTATTAGATGCATAAATTAATTTGTTCTTAATTTTAAGATAATAAATAGTGTTAAGCAATATATTTGGTATCCATTGGTGGTGTATTGTTTTGCTTAATTGCAGTGTTACTTTTTTATAACATAAATATATTGTTACGTTTTTCTTTCTTGTAACACCAGTTGTTACATTATTTTCTTCCTTCATGTTCGTACGGGGTTTGTAGATTTAAAGTGAATTGCGACGACACTTAATGAAGTATTGAAACACACTTTATTTACCAGTATTATCAGGACAGCTCCAAAATACGTTTTACAGTCATTGATGAACTACTATAAACATACTGACATGATCAGCGCCACAGCCTTCAGGTTATCAGACTATCATGGTGGAGACAGCTTCACTGCAAAGCACCAGAGTACAGCTCCCGACTCTGTTCGGCCATTCTCGAAACTCCATGTACTTTCGAGACTCTCCACGTTACAACTCGCGATGCACTCGACGACACAGAGCATGGCTCCCAACTCTTCGGTTCAGTCGTTTCCGGAGCTCAACACGCTCTCTCGATGATTCACTATCGTGATACACTGAGAGACTCCTTCGGTAAACTCGACGACCCACTCGGCACTTGCTGCCCGATCGACTCAATCGACTCCACAGGGATTGACTCGCTAGATGAGACACCAACTCAGTACTAACTAACTCGCACTTTAGACAAGGCACACACACTAACTGACTGCGGACCAGCAGCGTTTATATAGTTTTCAGCTTGTGTTCGAGAACATTCTGGGCTAAACCAGTAAGAATTCGTTCCAGAAGGTTCTCCATCTGTCCATGGCATATCGCCAATTTTGTCGCCAAATGTGGCAACCCTGCCTTCCCTTGCCATTTTATGGCAACCCTAAACTGCTTTGCGGGGAAGCTATCCTACCACGCCTGTACATTTCATAACAATGTGCATCATTCTCCAATTAATATGTTTGAGTGTGGATTTTAAATTTTAACAAAGCACAAAATTTTTGCACATTTAGACAAACTGAAAGATAAAATGTAATTTTTTTCGTTTCTCGTATTATTAACATAATACTTCATTTTAAGTGTTAACCATAAGCAGTTTCCCTTTAATATCGTCACTGCATAAAGGCGCTCGCTAGACATTTGCATGACGGCGCTGATTAGGCTTGTCGCTGGTCTGGGCATGGTTCCAGTTTAAGAAAGAATCAAGTGAGGTAGACCTTTAGGTTACGGTAATTTGGGTCTGGTATTAAAGGCATTCCTGCCTTATGTCCTCTTGGTGTATTAATTGCATATAAACAAATTAAAGCTTTTGGGTTCACTCCCCAGCGAGTTTGTGGTTGATTTTTCAAATTTCTATACTCGCAAGGAATATTTTGGCTCTTGCCCAACTGCCTTTTAAGTGTGAGCTAGAATGTAAGGAATTAAAGGCAATTCTGCCATATGGTTAGCGATCAACACATGCAGTCGAGACCAGATCTTTGTGAACCGACATCGTTCTCTCTTCGCGAAGGCCGCGGTCAGAAACAGTACGGCTGCATAGAGCAGCAGAATTTAGGAGACGCAGAATTGCACTGTGCAGCAAAATGTTTAGTACCGACCTGCATTCAGTTAATAAGTGGAAGATACCATCTGAAGCACAATTGATTTTTCAATTGTGCTTTAGATGTCAATTGTTAGATGTTTAATTGTCAATTTAACCCAATGCCTATACAAAATGACAATTTAAGTAAAGGGCAATTCCATTTGAAATGTAAAAAATTCTTTCTTAGTCACTTCTGAAATAACATCCATTGGAATGCCCATGCTTCATCGCTCTTCATATTTCTGGAAGCATTCGTAAGATGTCTCCTTGATATCTGACACTGGCAGGGTATTGCAATATTTCTTGAATTCTCAGAAATTGTTAATTTAGCCGAAAATTCTTAATAAGAGAGTATAACGGGATCAGAGGTGAAAATATTGCAAGTGGTTGTTGCATACTAAAATTTTTTTGATCAAGACAAGCTTCTTTGCTCAGATGCCCTCAAAGTATGATAAAGGGACAAATGGTTAAAAAATATTTTAACTACATTTGCAATACAAAGCAAACTGCACTGTCCTGGCTGAATTATTTTATGTATTTCTTCTGTAGAGTGTACTAATGATCTTTAACAGTCAGATTCAATTATTGCAAGTTTCATGCACATAAGATTGTTGTTCCATGAACTTTTGAGGGAATTTTCACCAAACGAAACTAGATGACAAAAATTAATAAAGCTTAAAAACTTACTTTTATTCATTTCTTAAATAGGAATCATGGTTGTATGGCCAACCATTCAAAAGACAAACATGCAGTCATTTTGGGGCATCCTGTATAATAAATATAAAGAAGAAGCGAGATTTCTTAGTTGCTGAATAAATCACCATTATTAAAATATTGAAATAAAGTATGTAAAAATTACCAGATATTGTTGTGCATTATTAAACTTGAAGTGCATTGAGAAATAACATGCTTTATAAAAAACATGGAATAAATTCAAGCATTTCATTTCAAGCTTCAGATTTTAATTATTGGTTGAAAAAGTGTGACGCTATAAACTGTTTCAAAAAATTATCTTATGGTGGTCATTCTTTTTTAAAAATAATAATAACTTTACTTGTGTATTAAAACAAAGAATTCTGATTTATTTCAGGAGAACAAGAAGAGCTGAAAATTGCTATTACAATGGATAATGCAAGAGGTTTGATTAAATCCTTAGAAAACTGGGCTAAAAAAGTGACTACAGGCTATAAAGATGTTGAAGTGCGTGATTTGTCAGTTTCATTCAGAGATGGTCTTGCCTTCTGTGCAATCATTCATCATTACAGGCCAGATCTCATGTGAGTATTATGTAAAATTCAGTATTCTTTCATAGTAAGTGTCAAAGAATGAATGTAAAATTCAGTATTCTTTCATTTAAGTGTTAAAGATTGAATGTTATGTTTTTATGTTATTTAAATTAATATTGTGGCTATTAATTTTTTTTTCTTAACTATAGTTAAAAATGGTACAAGGATTTATTTTAAAACAGTATCTAGAATAAGGTTTTATGATTTATTATAATACAATCAAAAGTTGTTAATTCGGACACCCATAATCCGGACCTCAATACTAAACTTTCTGCACATGCGCCGCGTTGGGACATGCGCACAAGCGTTTTACGCGTGCGCGTAAGACCTTGACTACTGCGCATATGCGTGTGCGCAAGTGCAGAATATGTTTTCGCCTGCGGGTTTAATGTATAACGGACGGTGTAAGCTAAAATTATCTAATTATCTATTTCAGTTAATGTTAATGATTGCGTTGTTCCTTAATCTTCGAATTGGATCCCACTTATTATTTTTTGCAGACTGTAAGAGCAATTTTATAAAAGTAAACTTGAACTTTCGATTATGTCAAATAGAATTTCCGATGCTGGAACTTCCAAAGGATCTACAAAACGTAAGTATGTTTCGATGTTCAACAAAACAAAAAGTGGAATTGCTGCAAAAAATGGATAAAGACATGAAGAATGTGACAGAGAGGTTAGTGAAAACGAAAAAATTTCGTTTGACAAGTTAGTCGGTATTCTCGGCACAGCAATTAATGGGACTTGAACAGCGGAACTTTGTAACTGAACAAGAAATTATGCCTGTTTATAGAATTAAAGAGAAAGTATTATCACATAAAACGAAGCAACTTAAACAACTTACATTGAAAGAAATGTTTAATAAAGTAAACAAATAAATATTAAGCTTTTTTTTTTTTTTGTAAATTTTGATACCTTTTAGATCATAATTGTTCTTTATTTCATAAATTACGGTTTCATATTTTTAATTTTAGAATTTCTGCATGCCATCTTACGAGATTTAAACTGATGATCTATAATCCGGAAAAATCGATAATTCAGAATCGCCGAAGTCCCGACGAGTCCGGATTAACGACTTTTGACTGTACTTAGATTAAGGTTTATAGCAAAATCTGGAATAAGATTTTGTAAATGCGTCATTTTATGGTAACGTCTCAGTTTTAGTGTAAAGCAAAAAATGTTACCAGTAAAGAATTTCAATAATATAAACTAGTAAAGAAGGTTATATAAATATCATATGTTTATAATCAATACTTTCTTATTTTTCCTTTTTTATTTTATGATGATTTTTAATAAGTAGTTTATTTTTTTAAAAAAAATGTGCAGATCTGTGTTATTATTTCATATGGGAGGGAAGCTAATTTTTATTTTTTTCTAAAACTGGAAATAACTCATAGAATAAAAACAAAACAATTTCTTCTTGGTCAAATTAATAACACATTTGCTAAGATGTTTCTGTTATTTTATTAATGTATTAAGATGTTTAATAAACAAATATAGTTTTAGAGCTTTATGGTTGATTTATAATAATTGCATGTACTAAGTGGATGAGACTAAGGCTCAATACCCAACTTTTCTTTCCTGTCCATTAACAGGCATTAATAATCCAACAGAGAAAGATGCTTGAAAAACTGTGATTTTTGCTTTTCCCTTTTTCTACGAACTTGAATTCCAAAGAACATAGTTGCTACAAAAAGTCATTTATATCTATAAATAGAACATTTGGATGCTGCAGATCTCTATTTTTGACTTTCAGATATTGAGAAAGTTTGCAGCGCATAAATATTAAATGAAAATTGGATATGTACTAAAGTAAAAATGAATTGCATTACTTTTATGATGCTTAAATAAACCATAAATTAAAATTTGTTAATGTTATCCAGGGATTTAAAACCTTTGTGTGCAAGAACTTTCAAGTCATAGCTTTTAAATTCTGATATATATATATATATATAAATAGGCTGTAAAATATGTAACTCAAAATTATAACTTAAATTAGGAATAGCCCTGTAAATCTTCATTTTAATTTGTATGTTTCTTTTTATCTAAAAGTAGAAATCTTTTATAATGACTTAAATTTACTGTGTCTTTCAAAATTTATCCATTTTATGCTTTCTTATGTGATCCTGCAAAGAAAGAGTTCTTATGTAGTCAGATTAAAGAAACGTTTGGCTATTTTTCAATGTGCGCTCTCTTTCACTGCTTTTTTCGCTTTGCCTGGCTGCTGCTAATATGCATCATTCGCTGCTCCGCTATTATCCACTGTCTAAATATGCTCTAACCCAGATGCTGAAATATGATGCAGTGTATATCTTAAAGCATAGGTTAGCAATGAAATGAAATGTCTCAATCAGAAACATCTGACTACCCCTCCCCTCTTCAAGAAGGGGGAAAAACAAGGAAAGGAATGAAGGAATGAAGTGATACATCTAAAGAAAAATTGGAAGCATTTGACTTCGACCTACCCTTAGTTATACAGTGCGAAATTTTAGAATTCATGAACATTTTTTCAAATTTTGTAAGATGTCAAATATCTTAAATATTATATTCTTTTTGACTTAACAGGATTGAGTAATGGCATATAATAACACGCAATAAGATATCTCATGACATGAGATAAAAAAAAATCTAATTTTTCAATACAGTACAAAGTCGGAAATCCGGACGTCCATTATCCGGAATGATCTAAAATCCGTACCTCAAAACCTACAAAATTTTTCTCGTAGGCTTTATGCATGCACATTTAATTTCCCCCTTCGTGCATAATAAAACATCTGTAGAGTCCTGATTCTTAATTTCACTTCGACACTTAATAAAATACCTTGTTATTGAAGAAACAATCATTTTAGCATAAATTTGTACGATCAGTAATTTGGCTCCGTTGCTGCATATTTGCTTGGCACACATCTCAAACTGAAAACGTTCCACATAGATACATCATTGAGGCGAATCATTATTTATTATACTTTCCTTTCATCATCGCATGTTTATCAAAACATGACAACTTGAGTAATGAGTCATGTAGCGATGCCTAAACAATTTTTTTATGTTAGTAATTGAATAATAAAGGAGTATGGTAACCTTTTATGTTGACATTACACTTGGCGATGATTACAGATTTAAGTTAAATGCTCTAAAAATGTTGATGAGGAAAAATTTATCAAAAATTTCTTTCCATATGCTAAAAATAGATTTTGTTGATGATACTCATAGACTCAAAGATTACATTTAGGGCTATTTGAATTAAGAATAACTGATTTGTTATTCACATAAACCCAGAACCAGCTCCCAGGTCAGTTGGCGTAACTAGAACACTTGGGCACCTATGCAAAAACATTTTTGGGCTCCCTATTACATTTACAGTACTTTTAAGACTGGTAAGGGGGTGGATATATATTCTGCCAATTGCAATAAAAAGTGAAGTGCACAACTAGCTATTATAGCACTCCCATATACAAGTTAGAGTTATGCTTTGAGTTATGCGAGATATATATCTCTATCTCACTGTACACATACGTATGCATGTGTATGCGAACATACAGATATCACGGGAAAAAAAAAAAAAAAAAAAAAAAAAAAAAAAAAAAAAAAAAAAAAAAAACCTTTTGAATCTGTTTTAAACCCATTTTATAATCTATTTTGAAAGGAAGAGCCCTTTATTCTGTCTGTATGTACAGATGTCATGAAAACAAACCTAGAAATGGATTTGAGAACGGTCAAAATTAATATTTCCGTTGAAATATGATACCCGACATTTTGGTATATGTAATACTGAATTTAACTTTTATGGAAGCACCTTGCCCTTGATCATATTATTTATAGAAGAATGCACATTTTTTTAAGTTTAATCATGTGAACGTAGTTCAGCAGAACATTCAAGGGTCCCTTTAGCCTTCAGGCCCCTATGCAACGGCACTCTTTGCATACGCTTATTTATGCCACTGGCCCAGGGCTCGTATGGCCACACCGAATCCCAGAATTTAGAACCCACAGAGACTGCATCAGGCGATAAGATATCTAGCGCCGGCCCGCAATAAGGCTTAAGTATATGTGGGAATTTATTTATCTGATAAGCCTTAAGCATGTGCAAGAAATAGACATAAGTATAATAAATAACTAAACTAATGCATTTCAGGCTTAATTGTCTCAGTGCACAACAGAAGCAAGATAAAATTTAACGGAACAACTTTTTGTTAGTCGCCAAGCTCATGATGCAAGGATATCTAAATTTGATGATGACGGTCGCTAATTTTAAAGATTTTCGGATATCTCAAAACAAAGGTGAAATTTTCCAGTTATCGGTTTTTGTAAAAAATGTGGAGAAGCAGTAATAAATGAAGATGATAAAAAAGAAGTTTTTCATTGTGATGACAATGCTTCTCAGTCATCAATTAATTAATGGATGAATCTGTAGTATTGTTCTAGATCCATAAAATATCGCTACCGATAGTTAAGAAAGTGACAGAGAAGTTACTGAAAACGGGAAAATTTTGATTAAAAAGTTATTCGGAATTCTCAAAACAGCAGTTACAGGACTTCAATGCAACTAACCAAGATTATCTCTGTCACGAATTAAGAGAAAGTATTAGCATAAAAAACAAAGTATAAAACCTTTTTGAAAGAATATTAATAATGTAAACAGATAAATATTAAACTCTTTTTTTTTGTAAATTTTGATACCCTTTAGATCATAAATGCTTCATTATTTCATAAATTGTGATTTCATTATTTTAATTTTATAATTTCTACATGCCATCGTATTAGATTTAAACTGATGATCTATTATCCAGAAAAATCCCAAATCCAGAATAGCCGAAGTCCCGACGAGTCCGGATTTCGGACTTTGTACTGTAAATATTTATTGAAAAAGTGTTTTATTTGATTAAAGCATATAAAGCTGTTTTAAATAATAAGAAAATAATCAACCATAACTAGAAAAAAAAGGTAGTTAAGCTTGTAAGAAACAGTGAGTGGGGTCAGCATTATCATCTGCTGCCCCAAGGATCCCCATGTCTGTTACAGCTCTAAGTCGTAGATGCATATTGTTGACAGTATAATTTTTATAAACCTTGCAATTTTAAAAGTTGAGTATTGTTTCTCCACATATGATCTTCCTTACTTGATTTAGTTCACATGAGCATGCTTCTCATTATTTAAAATCTTTATTTTTTTATGTAGACATTTTAGTGAAAATAATGCAAAATGAATACATATCTAATAAAAGAGATTATTTTATTCTATAGGTTTTCGTTATCAAGGAAGAACTTGTTTACTTTATAGATTTTATTTATAAATATTTTTGATTTCCTGATTTAGTATAGAGAAAGCGTGCTTTCCTTTTATGTAAAAATATATTAAATATAGATTTTATTTTAAAAAGTATCCTTATAATATTATGAATAGAATGTACATTTTTTTTTCCAGTGATTTTGATTCTTTGTCAAAAGAAAATATTTTCCAGAACAACTCATTGGTAAGTAATAATAAAATGTCAATTTATTCTTTCTCAAAACAGATATAGAAAAAAATTTCAATCTGTATTTTAAATGCTTTTAAATCACTTAACAATAATTTTTATACTTGTTATTATAGGCTTTCAGTGTTGCTGAGAAACAGCTAGGTGTGCCAGCTCTTTTAGATGCTGAAGATATGGTTAAATATAATCGACCAGATAAATTAAGCATTATAACTTATTTATCTCAGTTATATAACTGTTTTGAAAATCAGAATAAAGGTGAGTATTAACAGTATTTACAAATGAACTTACATTTTTTTATTAAGTAGTAACATTTTAATATAGCTTTGATTTTTAAAACATACTGCTAAAGTTTGCATAGAAAGCAGAATTTGATATTTTTTTTATTCATATGCTAAAAAAGTTTTAAATCTAATATTCACAAACTTTGAGAATTGCCAATTTGAGATATTTTATCCAAATGTATCAAAGTGTGGCTTATTTCAGGAGTTATACATTCACTTCCGTTGGAATTGTCTGCAAATTATGAGTGGTATGGGTTTTGTAATATTAGGAGAGAAATAAATTTGCTGTTAAATGTTAAAAATGCACAATTTCTTTTCATATGCCTTGTGTAGTAAATCTCTGTAGACACAGTTTCACAGCAAACTTATGGAAATTTACAGTTGTAAAAGAGGCTAAAAATATAAATACTAATATATTATACAAAACCGATACAGATAAAAGTCATGTCAGACTACTAAATCGCAATATTTTCACCCA